TTTGCATTTCGACCAGACCTAACTATAAACTAGGGCTCTGCCTCTCTAGCTCCTGTCCTAGGATTTTTATTGCTGTGTCTTTTGAATATGAACTCTCCAGTGTCCTGGCTGAAAATCACACCCTCCCCCAGCCACCACCCCCAAAGTGTTCAGACAAAACCATCTGGAGCGTTAATGTTAGAATTCTAAGAAATCCCACAAAGATGTGAAGAGGGGAGAGTACTAGAGAAGAGTACAAATCAGATGGAAAAAAAAAAAAAGAGCCCACAAAGGAACAGATATATTTGTGTTCTTTAAAATAAAACGGGTAAGTCAACACAAACAGGCAGGGAATTGTGCTTGGTGATAATTGGCCGTGTGGCTCAGCCCTCTGAGGTCTGAACGAGTAAACACAAGCTAAGCTTGAGTTGTCCATGTTTACATCCCTCTCTCCAAGGGGACCTCTGAGTGCTGGTTATTTGCTCCTTGGGATAATTGCATATATAATTTTTTTGCCAACTAAATAAACTCTCCAGGAGATGGATTTTGAGTTCTTCAGAAATGCCTACAGCCAGCATGGGTCAGGGATGGGAGATGGTTTTGCTCGGTATTATTTGTGCAAGGAGCAGGAAAGAACCCATCATCTGCTCTAACCAAATCAACAAAGTGTGAGGACAAGATTGGAGCAGCAGGAGACAAGGAGCCTGTCGCATCTGCCTGAGTATCATCATACCAAACCCAGACAGCAAAGATGGTCGCCCGAGGACACCTTAGCTCTCTTAGATGTGGGCTCCTGAGAGTTCTGTGGGATGCTCTCTTACAGTTAAATGAGCAGCATGATTTTGCTTAGCAACTGTGCTGCGGTAGCCCTGCTCTGTTAGTAAGTGGCTTGGGCCTCGGGGCTGGGGGAGGCAGAGGGGACACGCACGACCCGTGTCTCTCGGAGGTCCTCTGCAGCTGGTTCCTGATGTCCCAGGCATTGACTTCAATTCTGAGCGGTTTTAGAAGGATGCTAAAAAGTGAGGGGGAAATAAATTGAAAGACAAATACAAAATCTTCCAGAATGGTGAGCTGAGAGTGTCCGAGAGCCGAATGTGGAGTTGGCACTGACAGACCAGGGAAGAATGAGGACTTCCCCAAAGGAGGTACTTATAGGAGATAATGATCCAGGAAGGCACAACCAACACAGACCTCCCGAAGCTACACAGAGATTCTCTTCAGTCAGATATGAGGGAACATTCCTTAGCAGCAAAGAGAAACACTTAATCTGGAACTGCCGACATCTAAAGCCAGAGTTCAGCTTTTACAATAAAAATGCCTGTAAAACCACTTAACCAGACCCAGTGCTAAGCTTTTTTACACATATTTTGTTTTACACGTATTTAATCTTCCAAACTTCCCGGATAGGTTGGGTTCTTTTATCTCCATTTTATTGGGGAAGAAACTAATGCACAGAGAGGCTGAGTACCTTGCTTGAAGTCACCCAGCTCTCTAGCAGCAGGGACAGGACTGTCTCAGGCAGTCTGCTCCTAGACTCCATGTTCTCAAACACCATTCCACAGTAGGAGCTAATGGGAATCAGTGGCCTGAACACGACACGTGAGATGGTTTGTGGTTCTGTGGTGAAGGCTACAGTTTAAAAACGTTTGATGGAAGCAACAGTTTTGTTGTTGTTAATGTCTAGGTGGGCAGCAAAGAGCAAGAGTGTCCAGAATAACAGATAAAGCCTGCGCCCACACATTATCTGTTTATAACGAAGTACGGGGAAACACATATTTTCGTGCATCCACACAGGTTTGTGAGATATTTATTTCTTGTTACGGTTTAGATATGAGGTGTTCCCCAAAAGCCCGCGTGTGAGACCATGCAAGAATGTCCAGGGGTGAAATGATCACGTTATGAGAGCTGTCACCTAATCGGCGGATTAATCCACTAGCATGGATTTACTCTAGGGTGGTAGCTGTAGGCAGGTAGGGGTGACTGGAGGAAGTAGGTCACTGGGGATGTGCCTTTGGGGTTTACATTCTGTCCCTGGTGAGGTGAGCTCTCTGCTTCCTGTCTTGTCATGTGTTCTGAGCTGTTTTCCTCTGCCACTCCCTTCTGCCATGAAGTTCTGCCCTGCCTCACCTTGCTCTGGCCCAGAGCAAGGGTCAGGAGACCACGGACTGACCCTCTGGAACTGTGAGCCAAAATAAACTTTTCCTCTTCTAAGTTGTTCTTGTTGGGTGTCTTTGGGTCCCAGCAGCGAAAAAGCTGACTCAAACATGAAGACACTTAAAACACCCCAGATAATTAAAACGCTCCAAGCATTTTCTGAGCACCGCCCTTGGGTACCTGGGAGAAGCAGCCCAGGGACACGCTGGTTGGCTCGGGTGGTGAGCCGAGAAGCGTTCACCTTGCTGATCAGTTCTCCAGTAGACACTGCAGTCAAGACGCCAGCACCTAGCCTTGGTGACACTTTCTCTTCCTCCAGTCAAACCCACTCCGGGCCAGTCACTGTCGTTCCCTGGCCTACCTCAGCTTCCCGTGTGCTTCAACGCCCGTCTTTGCCAGTCTCAACCTCATTTAGTTTGCAGTTGCACTCACATCCTAATTTATGACTTAACAAGCGTCTCACAAACATTTAATTCACTTTAATTTCATTATGCGTGTGAGGAGGGTGATTTGTAGAAGGGGAGACGTTGGTTTCCCGTTTGCCAGCAATTAGATGAGCTTAATGATCTACGCTGCAGCCTCCTTGTGGGCTTTGAACTTTGCCTGCATGTCTACAAACAAAACTCGCCTAATAAGTTCCTGGGTCCCCAGAGGGGCTCAGCTGCCCTCACAAAGCCCTGCCTTCGTATCTGATGTGGAAATTCATGAGAGGGCAGAACATTCCATATGGTGCTCAGGTAATTCATCTTGTCACGATTCTTTCATGTGTGGAAAAAAATTTTGATATTTTCATATGCAGTTTCAACAACATCAACAGATTGTGATTTTTTTTTCCTAAATGGCTTTTTTGAGGAGATAAGGAGAGGGGGCAGTGGAAGAGTACAGATCCCATTTGATAGACTGAGCACCCTGCCAGGAGTCCAAGCGCATGACTCCTTTGTATATTTCTTTGACTTTCCTGGACGGATCACCCAGTGGCTAGTTCTTCTCTCAGTCTTCCTTCCCAGAAGGGGTTCAGGGTGAGTCTGGTGTCCCGTGCGAGGGAGCCCAGCTTGGCTTGGTTTGCCGAGTTGCTGAATAACTTGGAAAACTGTTTCCATCTTTGTGCACCAGACTGAGGGTTAGCTCCACCAGACTTCTAATCTTAGCTCTGTCTCTCTGTAGCAGCAGCATTTTCATGCAAGTCCCCTTACCCCTGTGGGCACTCGTTTTGTATCAAGCCTCTTCTCTGCTCTGTGGTTCTTGGCCTTCTGACTCACCAGAAGGCCGTGAATAGGCAGACTGTGTGATAAAGATTTCCTGTGTCGATAGCTCCAAGTGCAGTTGCTTTTCCTAAAATCAATTTAGGCAATATAGACAGACCATGCACTCTGGTATTGAACATACATTTCTTTTTAAAATTAATTTCTTCTTGGTACATTACAATTGTACGTAATGGTGGGATTCATTGTGATATATTCAGATATGCAGGTAACATGAACTTGGTCAATTCCACTCCCCAGTGTCTTCCCTTTCCCTCCCCCTCCCTCTTCCTCTCCTCTACCAGTCTCCTTCTAATTTCATGAGATCCCCCTTCATCTTTTTTTTTCTTCTTTTCTCTCTAGCGTCCACCTGTGAGAGCAGACATACAGTCCTCTCTGAGTCTAGCTTGTTTTGCTGAACGTGATGCTCTCAAGTCCCATCCATTTTCCAGCAAATGATATAATTTCACTTCTTTTTATGACTGAATAAAGCTCCATTGTGTTATATACATCACATTTTCTTTATCTATGCACCCGTTAAACATATATTTCATTTATTTATGACAGCATGTAGTTCCAAGGACCCCTGATGACAATCTTCAGCGTCAATTCTGAGAGTTTGGAAAAGACCCGGAGGGTCGTTCCACCAAAAGGCCGCACCATGTTCTGGGTGCATGGAGGCGCTTCCCAGTGACGCTGTCTGTCTGTCTACCTCTCACCCCCTGACATGAGTCCTTTGCCCCCATATCAGTCTAATTTCCATTCTTAAAAGTATGTTTGCCACCAAACTGCTGACTCTTTCAAGAAAAAGTTACCATGAGCTGAAGCTCCTTCTGCCCCTTTAGACAGTGACCCTGTCATTCTGAGCCCTGTCCTGTTTCTTCTGGGCCCACATACGCGAAGGACGCAGCACCAGCTCAAACAATTATATTTAAAACAAAAGTGTGTGATAATGTACAGCCTCCGTGTGGGGAAAGAGGTTGCAAAAACACCAGTGCTTGGCCTGAGTTGTCACAAATGAGGATGGATGTGGCTGTTTTCCCTTTCATGCAAACACTGGGGCCTGATTCCATTTTTTTTTTTTTTTTTGTGAAGAATGTTGGCGACCATCCCATTACCTCTCATAAGCCAGTCAGGTCTTTCTTTCCCTCAGCATATTCTTTGAAAAACTAGTCAGGGAAACTAGATGTAATCCATCACTGCCAGTGTGGAAAGAGCTCCGTCCCCCTCCCCCTTTCTCCCTGAGGGAGGGGTCGGTGATGCCCCGTGAGGCATGGCAGCAAGCCTTTCTTGAGAAAGAACTGTGTTTGCACTAGTGAGGGAGTGAGAATCAGTATGGGGGCTGCAACTGTAGGATCACGAAAGGAGAATTCAAAGTGTGAACTAAGCGTAACCTGGTGTGCAAAAAAGGTGTCAATTTTGAGGAGCCTCGGATCCTCCTGGATCACCTGAAAACTTGTATGTGTGTGCGTTTTTCTAGGAGAGAGACCGCAGCTTTCACCAGCTTCCCTCAGAGCAGCCTATGATTGAAGAAAGCTTAAAAGCCACTGACCTGTGCATCTGTCTTCTGAATCCAGGCTGAAGCCACTGACTTGCCTATCGGTATTTCTCCTTTGCTCTTCCTAGAAAAAGCAAGTGAGTCAGACCAAGATCCGGGTCATCTCAACCATCCTGTTCATCTTGGCTGGCTGTGTTGTGTTTGTGACGATCCCTGCTGTCATTTTTAAATACATCGAGGGATGGACGGCCTTGGAATCCATTTATTTTGTGGTGGTCACTCTGACCACGGTGGGATTTGGTGATTTTGTGGCAGGTAAGCACCCTGGGCATCCCAATCACTGGGGTCCCGGTGGGAAAAAAATGATCTTGTTTTTTTTAAAATCACAATAGCGGCTATTTGCGTAGCAGCCAATGAAAATGATTCCATGTCACCACTGCCGGGCAAAGGTTCATTTCAAACCACATTGTCCTATGTGATGTAAAGAACAGAGGTTTTTTTTTGGGGGGGGCGGTGGGAGGTGGGTACCAGGGATTGAAATCAGGGGCTCTTAATCACTGAGTCACATCCCCAGCCCTTTTTTGTATTTTATTCAGAGACAGGGTCTCACTGAGTTGCTTGGCACCTCGCTTTTGCTGAGGCTGGTTTTGAACTCATGATCCTCCTGCTTCAGCCTCCTGAGCCACTGGGATTATAGGCGAGCACCACCACACTTGGCGGCAGAAGAAAAGAAAGTCAGCCTCCTTCTTCTTGGGATGCTTAGTGCCCATTTATGAATTATGCAAGAGCAGAATGAATTTCTCAGAAATCTAGGTCCTATCAGTTGTGTTAAGGGAGCTTGAATCAACTCACGAAGGCTGTATTTCCACAAGGCAAGTATCAAACTTGAGAGAAGTTAGCATGGAGGATGGCCTGGGTGACCTGCAGGCTGAGCTTCCTCATACTGACATGAAAACCGCTGCCTCTGGAGAAGTCGTTCTGGGTATGCTCAGGTGCAAGATTTAGGGTTGGGAGATGAGCACTGTCTAGAGGGAGCACAATTTATTCCTTAATCTTCATTGTAAAAATAGAAGTCAATGAACTACGTTTGAGGGAGTGAAAGAAAACCACCATCAATTTCACCCAGGGATGGGGAGTTTAAAAATGAATCAAGATTTGGCTTCATAGTGCTTTCCCAAGGTGTGGTAGGAAGGCAGGAATACCAGGAGGCTTCTATTCCACCTCCTCCTTCTTCCCTGTAGGCATGGTTCTAGATGTTCAGACGGTCATTTTCTTTTCTTTTAAAAATTTTTTTTATTTGTTGATGGACCTCTTTATTTCATTCATTTATTCATATGTGGTGCTGGGAATTGAACCCAGTGCCTCACACATGCTAGGCAAGCGCTCTACCACTGAGCCACAACCCCAGCCCAACAATTGATCATTTTCTACTTCAAGAAGTGAATGCTTTGATCAAACAATGCCATCATAAGTTCGAAATGGTTGAGCAAAGTGTGTGTGTGTGTGTGTGTGTGCGTGCATGTTTCTTTGATCAGTTCCTGGTTAGCAGCAGCCTTCACATTTTGGAGGCTGAGCTCCCAGGCAGGCTGTACTTTTGTCTAGTGTGTGTTCCCATCAGTGCCTTGAATTCTCCGTGTGGTGTAGTGAATGTAAGGAGGATGGGTAACTAATCTCTGGGAATCTGATAAGAGATGTTGGAGGCTGGTCAACAGAGTATGGGTGCCTCCATGTTAATTCTACAACATAGATAACTGACAGCTCCAACTGTGCAGATGAAGACTGAGGCCCACTTTGTAGAAATGGTAGTATTTTCCTCTCTTGGGCTGTAGGTGAAGAATTAGCAAAGTCAAAGCTATTAAAAGTTATTTACAGAGCTGGGGGCAGTGGTGCACGTCTGTAATCCCAGTGACTCTGGAAGCCATGGCAGGAGGATTGCAAGTTTGAGAACAGCTTCAGCAAATGATTTAGCAAGACCCTGTCTCAAAATAAAAAATAAAAAAGGGTCTGGGGGCTGGGCATGGTTGCACACACCTGTAATCCTAGCAGTTCGGGAGGCTGAGACAGGAGGATCTCGAGTTCAAAGCCAGCCTCAGCAATTTGGCAAGGTGTTAAGCAACTCAACAAGACCCTATCTCTAAACAAAATACTAAATAGGGCTGGGGATATGGGTCAGTGGTCAAACTCGGGTAATGGGGATGTGGCTCACTGGTTTAGCATCCCTGGGTTCAATCCTCAGTACAAAAAAAAAAAAATTACAGAATGCCTGGAGCCTGGCAATCTTTCCTTGTGCATAATGCTCAAGCACTGCTGACTAGAGGCCCTAAGCTTTGGAGAGAAACTACACAGAGAAACTGAGAAAAGTAACAGGAACAATTGTAGGTGTATTAAGTATAATTTCTTAGCATCATCCATAGCTGGAACATGGGAAAATTCAATTGAGGTTCCAATCTAAAGTACATTTGTGTAAGGACAGATGGAATTTAGAAGTATTTCAAAAGTATTTTAAGTATCCCCAAGCATAATTTGCAATGTGTCCCAAGGACTATGTATTATCAAATACTTGTGATGAACCTTTCTCTCTAAGCAGTTAGAGAGATTCAATTCAGCCTGTTAACCTGGGGGCACAAATAGCAGATCCTGAGTAAGGTGAGATTTTGATACAGATGCTCTTCAGGTATGAATTACTAGCCACTTGGACTGAGCAATGGTACCCATCAGCACTTCACCACATCTTCACTTGCCCAGTGAGTGTGTAGCCTACACAGTCCTGGGCATCCACACGGTTTTAATGTCCTTGCTTATCAGTGACTACAGAGCCATATTTCCTTTGTTTCTGTAGAACAGGTGCTTAATCATTCACAGTGCTGAATGTCATTAAATCAGGTCTTTCTAAGTTCCAGTTTCCAGGGCTTACATAGACCAATATGCAGACCGCACATCTCAGTACCCTTTCATGAATACAATCATCTCTGCATCCACAGGAATTGGCTCCAGGACCCCTGCAGATGCTGACTCTGCAGATGCTTCAGTCCCTTTCATAAAAACGGCATAGCATTTGTATTCCGTCTATGCACACCTTTCCATAGACTTTAAATCATCTCTAAATGACTTGCCATACATAATACAATGTAAAAGCCATGTAATGATTGTTATACTATATTGTTTAGGGAATAATGAAAGGAAAAAGGTCTACGTATTTAGGTCAGATGCAAATTTTTTTTCCCCAAATATTTTTGATCCACTTTTGGTAGAACCCATGGATACAGAATGCGCAGATTCGGAGGGCCAGCTGTAACTCTGAGAGTGACTGGGAAGCCAACCCAGTCATGAAAACAATATTCACGACTAGTCATTGAGAGTCGCAGTGATCTGACATGGTCACATGTAATCAGAACCTCCACCACCCAGGGATGAGCTGGTTTATTTTGTAGCTGACCCACTCTGGGACAGCCCAGGGGCATACTGGGAGCACACGCCAAACTTCAAGTTCCCACTGAGCTGATGAAAGGATCTGGGAAGGGTGGTTCCTGCATTGTTCTGGGGACACCCTGGGTTGGGCAAGGTAAATATTTACTCTCAGCCCAAAGGAGAAGGCTATAGCTTTTTAACACAGAAACAAAAGAAATCTCAAAAAACACTCAATGTTATAGAAACTCAGATTGTATTCTAAAGAAAGCTTCGAGGAGAGCTGACCAGGGACTGGACACACAGCCCTGAGGCAGTGAATTTCTCACCTTAGGAGGTGGCAGTTAAAGGGTTATGGAAAATAATATTCCTACAAGACAGCCCCCACCCCCTGGGAAAAATGGAGGGACAGTGTGACTTGGCAGGAGGGAGAGGAAATTAGCCAAACGTTAAACCTCTCCCAGAACATCCTCTCCCAGTAACAATGGGCCTGAGGGAAAAAGCCACCTTTCACCCCTTCCCAGGTTCAGCCCCAGCACCTCCACCAAAAGCAAACATTCACCCCTTCCCAACCACAGTGGTTCCTAAAGGGAGCCCGTGAATACTGAAACACTGGGCCCTGGACTTTCACCCTTTCCCATTGCAGATGAGTCCTGGAAGGAGAAAAGCAAATAGTGAAGCTTTAGGTACCAGTGGGTCCAGAGGAAGACAATAAACAGTGAACACTGAGTGGTGAGTCCTTCCCAGGGACAAGGAGTTGCAAACTTTTTACAACTGCCTTCCTGAGTTGAAGTTTTAACCTGAACAACTAGGTCCCTGACTGTCCAAATGGCACCTCCGCAATCTCCAAGGATTAATTCATGACCTCATTGTAAAGTATAAAACCCAGACTCCTTCTGTAATCCCGGGGGTCATTTCCACACTTAGAAAGTCAGCCCTCCTGTGCCTGATGGGTAGACTTCACTGCAGAATAAAAGAAAGCTTGCTGTTCTGGAGGTTTGCTTCCCATCTCCTTCCCTCCTCCTGCCACATGCTTCCGCAATAGCTGTCAATCCCTTTCGGGCTGCGTTGCGGTGTGGGTCTGAGCGTGTTTAGAAGAACCACAGGGCCCAGTGTCTGACCACCTGTAGGTACTCAGTATCTGACTTCTGTGGTGATAGATGTGGTCACAAAGGAGCAATTGGAAAGCCTAGCAATCACTCATCACCTGATACTGTAATTCCTAACATACTGCTAGTACCTGTCACCTTGGAAACAGCTCCTGCCTGCTTTGCTGGGTAACAGTGCTTCCGAGAGTGAGAACCAGGCCGCTGTCAGTCATTCCACTGAGCTTCCTCACTTCCTTAGGAGAGTGGGCTGGGCTTGGAGCCTGTTTTGCATGGCTGCCCTCAACAGTGCTTGCAGGAAGGCTGGAATAAATGGGCTAATTATTTGGAATAAATGACTTGTTCTTTCAATGAAACAGCTAGTCAATACCATCAGGCAACTGGCCAATTTGATTTGATGGATTTTTAACTGTAATCCTTATTTATAAAATAAAGGGATTGGACTAGATGGCCTCACAGGTCCCTTTTAGTTTGAGTTTATGGTGATTCTAATTGCTCAGCCTAATTGACCCTTTGGATTAGCATCATGTAAACACCATCTCTTAGCATTACATCGCTAATTCAAAGATCAAAGCCTCTGCAAGGCCGTGGTGCCTAATTCCACCCATCTCTTGGTAGATTCATGTGTACTTCAGATGGAAATGGTTCTAAGAGTTCAAAACCACCTGGGATCATTTGAGGATTATTTGATTTTTATTAAAATAAATTTAGAGAAGTGTAAAAGAAAAGAATGACAACTGCGTCTGGGCTGAGGTGCCTTAGGCTGAAGTCATTCCTCCTCCATGCTCAGGTGGAGAAGAGGAGGGTCAAGTTGGCTGCTGACATTTGTCTGCTACAGGTATTAAGGTTGGTGATCAAGAATCAAAGTTGAGACCCAAGTCAGGCTGTCCTGGGGCAGGGACCCACAGCCGTCCTGTCGGTTATACAGCAAGCTCAACTGCTGAGTGTCATATGATGGTGTCAGAGCATCTCTGCCGCATGGGCTGGATACGTTTGTTCTGCAAAGACCAAATGCTAGATGATGGCTAAAGTAACGCTTGGTTGTTTTCAGGGGGAAACGCTGGCATCAATTACCGGGAGTGGTATAAGCCCCTAGTGTGGTTTTGGATCCTGGTTGGCCTTGCCTACTTTGCAGCTGTCCTCAGTATGATCGGAGACTGGCTGCGGGTTCTATCCAAAAAGACAAAAGAAGAGGTAGGCCCCCCCTTCCAAACTACAAGTATTCCTGACATCAGATTAGCTGCCATCAGGAACTGCCTCTCTCTGGGGGCTAGAGGGTCCTTGGCTTCAGGCAGGTCTCATAAGGCTTTCCAGTTTTGAATCTTTACCTCAAATTGACTAGAAGAGCCATTATTTCGAGAACCTTCTTTTGGCAACTGAGAAAATATGGTGATTCCTTACCAGTCCATGAACCCTAGGGATTCTTGTAAATAACAACTGATTTTTTTAAAAAAAGGAAAATGAAAAGGGGGGGGAGTAAATTAAAGCAGACTCAGGCAGAGGGAGATGTGCACTTGTCCCTTTTCAGCAAATCAGACTCCTGAGGAGCCTAGGAGAGCTGGCCTGTCCTTCAGGGCTCAGGTCGGCGTGGGAGTGTGGCCCAGGTGTCTCTGGGTCCATTTTCTAGGAGACTCAAGTTGTCCAACAGTGGCCTGCCATGGGGAAGTGGAACCAGTTGTCCCCTTTCATTTGTCTTTTGTGTCTGCCCCAGTTGTTGGACCCACAGAGACAGATTTATCTCTATGGCCACGGGCACAGTCTTTACTCCTGTAAATTTATGTGAGGACCCACACATAAGTGAGAAAAGGAAAGATGAATTTTGTGGCTTTAAAAAAATCATGCAGTTCTCTAGGAACAGAGGAAAAGAAAATAAGAAAGCAGGACAAATGGAGGAGAAAGAAAGAGCTAAATGAAAGAAGGGAGAGAGAAGAAAAGACAAGAGAGCAAGAGAGGGGACGGTGCCTTTAAGGGGAACTGTTGTCCTCCTTCTACATAAAGGGCCCCAGGAGAAAGTTGCTGAAGGAGAAAGTTTCCCCCTCCTTCCTGGACCCACATGTTCCTTTTCCTGGCTGCATAAACACTGTCAATGCAGTCTGATTCCCCAGATGGCTAACTGATCAGCTAACCAAAGAGGAGGGAATGACATGAATATTGACTTTCCTAAATGCAAAAATTTGAGTCACTTATCTCTATAGGGAAGGACGGGACAAGTACCGTCTGCCCTGTTGATGAAAGGCCAAGAAATCTGGGTGCTGATCCTCTGGCAAAACTTCACTTTCAAAGAATATAGGTTCTGCGGACGTTGGCAAAACAGGTCCCCTTTCCTGCACCCTGAACAGGGGAATTTGGTCACCATTTGCCCAGGAGGGTCTTCTTCAGCCAGGGCAAGCCCGGTAGCCTATGCACTGTCCAAATATAGGGTCAGAACCCACTCTCATATCTTCCCCAGGACCTTGGAGGTTCCTAGGACATAGGAACTTTCTGTTTTAAAACCAGGACAGTCCCAGGCAAACTGGGATGAGGAGTTTCTCATCTTACCCAGATATAGATATTGGAAGGACAGGGAAGGATAAAGGTCTTGCTCAGCACCTTTTTTTGGGGGGGTCCAGGACTGAGTTAGGCACATTTCCTTATTTGGGGTAAAGAGAGAAGGTTAGATTTTAGATCTGATCACCTCTGCTTATGTGGGAGGAAGGAGGCCATATAATTTTTTAAAAGTTAGAGACATGACAAAAAGCTGTCACCTCTTACTCAGCCACCATCTCTCAGTCTCAGGCGTCCTTTGGATTCTCTCCACGTGCCTCCTGGAGCCACTTTAGTCTCTAGCCAATTTGTGGTGGGCATTTGGGTGGCAAAAAGGACTAGGGCAGAAGTTGCATTTGGTCCCTTTCCCTGGGCATATGCTCTACCCCCTTCTGGGCTCCCCAGAGACCACCTCCCCCCGGGGACACCCGAGGGCTGCGGGTGCTGGGGGCCCCCCGGGAGGAGAGGAATTTCTCAGTGTGTTGATGCTCTTCCGTCTCTTGGCCAGGTCGGTGAGATCAAGGCCCACGCAGCCGAGTGGAAGGCCAACGTGACGGCCGAGTTCCGGGAGACCAGGCGGCGCCTCAGCGTGGAGATCCACGACAAGCTGCAGCGGGCAGCCACCATCCGCAGCATGGAGCGCCGGCGCCTGGGCCTGGACCAGCGGGCCCACTCGCTGGACATGCTGTCTCCAGAAAAACGCTCCGTCTTCGCCGCCCTGGACGGTGGCCGCTTCAAGGCCTCTTCCCAGGAGAGTATCAACAACCGGCCCAACAACCTGCGCCTTAAGGGGTCGGAGCAGCTCAATAAGCACGGACAAGGGGCCTCCGAGGACAACATCATCAACAAGTTCGGGTCCACGTCCAAACTCACCAAGAGGAAAAACAAAGACCTCAAAAAGACCTTGCCTGAGGATGTGCAGAAAATCTACAAGACCTTCCGGAATTACTCTCTGGATGAAGAGAAGAAGGAGGAGGAGACAGAAAAGATGTGTAACTCGGACAACTCCAGCACAGCCATGCTGACCGAGTGCATCCAGCCTCAGGCTGAGCTGGAGAACGGAATGGTACCCACAGACACCAAAGACAGGGAGCTTGAGAACAACTCGTTACTTGAAGACAGAAACTAAACGTCAAAGATGTTGGACTTGGACTAAGCATTGTGTGGTCTTTTTTTTTTTTTTTTAAATATTATATATATATATATATATTCACACTGAGACACGTGCCTTAAACAGACTTCTTATTAGTCCAAAATTACATAGCATTGAAAAATATATTTCACTGTGCCATAAACGACTGAAAGCTTGCTCTGCCAAAATGAGTCCAAGAACAAGAGGTTCATTTCAGATAGCAGCCGCAGGACACACCGGGGGCTCGCGCTCCTGCACACAGCAAGCAGGTGCACGTGGCAGGCTCCACCACAGGTGGGAAGGTGGATGCAGTACCACCGTGCAGCACTGCCCTGGCACAACACCTAGACAAGGGCAGCTGTTCCTTAGGCCAGCCTCCGACAGGAACAGTTGTGTCTTTTAGGTTTCCTCAACTTACCATCCGTGATATGTCACACGGTGGTGGCGGGGGCTGTTCGCTGGTGAGCTGGGAACTAACTGCAACTAGGTTTAGAGCTGACGTTTTGGCATGTGCTCTGAGCTTGAATTTTGATACAAACCATTCCTTGCGTAATACCTACTCTTTCTGAGCTCCAAATGAATGTCCGTGGGACCCGAGAGCACCTGGAATTTGTTGGAAGTGGATCAGAGCACACATATTAAAAGGTGCAATTGCTTTTTCTCATTACAAAAGAAAAAAAAAAAACAACCACAAACCCATCACACTGTGGAGATCACCTTATCCGCTGACAGAAGCCCACTGAGTAGTGTCCTTCTCACAGGGGCCGGTCACCCGAGTGCACCTGGCTGCATTGGTGGAGACTCAGCCTCAACCACTGCATGGTTACCAGCGAATCGTGCGCTTTCCTCAGTGGGTGTGATGGTGAAAATGAACTGATTTTGAGACGTCGACGTTCACTTTTCTATGGGGTGACTTCAGTGATAACTCGTTTTGATAAGAGGGGGGAACATACCAAAACTATTGCCTTGCATGATGCCAGTGGCTTGCTGTTCTGTCCAGCCGATTCTCAATTTTTATAAAAATAGACATCCTGCATTTCTGAGACGTACCGAAGAGGACCATGGCATCTTTCCATCTCAGGGCTTCTTGTCCCTTTGGGTGTCTTAGGGTAGACATAGTCTTGAGACCCAATCTTGCTACTTCCAAACACAAGGAAAAATAACCCCTCAACCACCCCCTGCTTAGTAAGATTGAAATGTTTTAATTGCTTGCAGTTAAGTGCCATTAATGTCATCTAAAAAGTAATACTTAAAGGAAACATTTAAAGTATTTTGTTCATTTTTATGTTTGGCTGTTCCTTTGTTCTGGAAGCCTGGCTTCTTTTCTCTTTGCTTGTTTCTTTATCTCATGTCTGTTTTTTTTTTTTTTTTCACTAAAATGGCAACGCTCTACTGATCCTTTCAAGGCAAACGACCACGACCAACGTGTGAAAAGTAACGATTGTTCCCCAGGCTAGAACTTTCGGCCAAGCAAAGTGGAGAAATGGCTAGTCACAGGTTTTGAGAGGATGATCTTTAATAGATTTTTTTTTTTTTTAAATCAGAAAGGGAAAAAATATACATGAGGTCATTATTCTGCGTGTGCCTCAGTCTGTGTCGTAATTGGCTGTCTGTCCTACTGGTTCAAGTTAGTTGTTTGGGCCACACGTGGGCCTGGAAAACTCCAGGAAGTTGCTGGTCGTGAGCCTTCCAGTCACAGCCACACCCCCTTGGGGGTTTTTTAATGGGATTTTATATAACTACTCCACCAAGTGGACTTTCCAAATGATCACACGACACAAATGGAGACGTACAGAAACCATCTAGCACTTCCGACTTTCAGGGGAAAATTATGCCCAGGGCAGTCTTTTGACAGTCAGTACCACTGAAGACCCATCCCTGCCTCTTTCCCACACGTGCACGGCTCTCCCTGCCTGCAGCATACGACAGTCCCCCTGGCCCAGCCCCAAACCTTTAGGCTCTATAGTTAAAGTTCTGGCATTGCTTTTGAAAAAGAGCCAAATAAGGATCATCTATGGCGAGACCTTTACTGTTCTCATGGTACTGAGCAGATGCTTGGGGAACCGTGTGTGTGCAGGTGTCGATGTTGGTTTTTACCATGGGACTCAGTCCAGCCAGGCCCAGTGTGTTATAAGGAGTTGGCAGATAACTGGAACTTCCTTATTCTGACAAGTTTATGTTTCCCAATCAACCTATCCATGGATACCATTTATTTGGGTTTCTACCCCATAGTACCTCGGTACCTCTTTGTGTGTTAAAATTTCAGGCCCTACAGCCAGATCTGGCAAAGAGGCTCCCCCCTGTCATTCATCCCATGTCTTCTGTGGGCCAGATACTGAATCAGGCACTTTATGGATGTTAGCTCACTGAAACCTCACTACACCACACATGAAGTATTTGCAAACCATTATACATGAGGACATGGAGGCTCAGGAAAGCTAAGTAACTTACCCAAGGGCACACAGCAAGAAGGCAGTAGAGCTGGTATTCAAAAGTATGACCAAAGTCTGCTTTCAACTTTGCTACAATGTCTTTTGTGCACTCTTCTGAGTATGTGTGTGTGTGTCTGTGTGTGTTTGTGTATACATGTATTCTTCAAGTCTCATGAACACAGTTTACAGAGATGAGGGGAAGAGTTGGAATAATCTTTACCCCTGAGAGGGCATGAGGTCTTTGTGTTTTACACAAAAGGCCTAAAGGGTTGCCCTTGAAGACACCTACTGTGTGCTGTTATGGTTTGGTTTTGAAAATACTGTATATGGCACTTTTTCTGTACTGTCACAGATGCCCTTTGAAGGTACTCTTTGCACTTTATTTGCCTACTTTGCAGGAACCCCGCATACAGCAGGAATAAAACAGTTCAAAGCACCAAGCTGCATGCTCTACCAAATGGAACAGGTGCGTGTGTTGGCGTGTGCATAGATGTTTCCCCAAAGAGTCCAATCTCAGCAAAGACAGAAAATCAAAAATTGCCTTGAGTTGGGAGCCTGGGAACCTTTGATAGAACCCCTTCCCTGTGTACGATGGGTACCAGGCCCTGCCAAATCATCAGAGACCACCTCTGTGGAGGTTGATCCATTAAATTCCCATGGGCATGTTTGGAAAACTCTGTTCTCCAAAGGAGCAGGTCAGAGGGAATAAGAGGTTGGATTCCTCCCGCTAAGATTTGAGGAGTCAGTGGTCTAGAAGTTACTTGAATGTTACCTTTTCTTGAGATGGGGCTGGATAGCCCATGGAGCACACGCCATAGTGCAAACCTGCCACGTGTTCTGTACGGTGCATCGGCACCACGGGCCCTTCAGTCTGCACCCCTGCCCCACCACAAACCTCTAACCAACACCTTCACCTTGCGCACGGGAAGAGCATGTCTGGCATCTTCAGTGGGTGGTCATGTTTCTCAGCCGACATGGCACTTGGGTACTCAGTGTGGCGGTTTACTGCTGAGAGACAAGGGACAGTTTGGGGAGACCAATGCAACTTGATATTTGGTCCTAGCCCAGTAGTGGTTTCAGCAAGGTGCGATTTTGGGGTAGGGTTGTATAGTGTGTGGGGTGCCTGGAACTACTGTGCTCCACAAGTCACAGCCTATCACTGTGGGCACATTAGTTCCCGTACCACATTGGCACCTCAGGGGAGTGGGGCGCAGACAGTCATCAAGGGCCCTTTTTGTTCTGCAGTTCTCTCA